GAGAAAAATTGCGAAAAAAAACCCTCGGCTTGCCCTCCTAGAGAGACCACTGCAACCTTAGAAGTTCGAGAAGTGCAACAACTTTAGCTTGAGGCAGGGCAAGGCCACATGAAGCCTACAGTCCCTTTGTGCGTTCCTAATGCCTTCTATGCCCTCCCCGAAGAGCCCCCTCAGCAAAACAGTAGGTAAACGGTTTTTTATATACGAAAACCGACTCAGAAGGTCCTCTCATCCTGCAAGTTAAGTAGCCCAAGGGCCCAAGAGGCCCGGTTGCCTGTACAGTGGTGTACCCAAAGAACCCAACACCCCTTAATTAAGGAATATATGCCTGAAATTATAGGGGGCCTTAATATTATGATTTACGGTATATTCCTTAATTAAGAGGTATTGGGTTCTCTGGGTATATTGTTTAGGGTTTAGGGCTATAACCCCAAGCCCTATCCCTCACAACACCTGTCGCCCAGTAGGCTGCTCCTCAAATTTGCGGATGTCTTGGGCTTCTGATCTTTGGAACCCTCGCAGAAACCATAATAGAAACCCTTAGAAAGAACCTCTATGTCAACCCCCCAAACGGAAGCTCAATAGAAACTGCTTGCACCTCTGAACTCTAAATAAACCCTAAACCCTTGTTGATTTGTATAGCTTGATGTGTCGTCTGAAGCAGCATTCCGATTCATTTCAGCCATCACGGCACAGAGCTCACGCTTCGGCAGTGCAGGAAAAGGGGTCGTCCGGTAGTTTGCTCTCGCCATAGCATTCTGCGTCTTTACGACTTCTTCCGTTAGAGCCGAGATTTCTCATTCTCGGCTCTATCATTTCTTCGTGACGATTGGTCTTTGGGACCACCAGTATCGAGGCCCCTGCCAGTGTCCTTTCGACACTGGTAGCGGAGCCTGTGATCCACAGAGGCCTTTGAGTGCAGCTGGTTTGCTGTGGAGATATGTCTGAGCCCGGAATAAACCCGAAGCTTCCGACCTGGGATGGGAATTGGCGCACCTTCTCCGACTACCGCCTTGCGTGCTATCTGGAACTTGATGGTCTGAAGAAGGAAGATCATGATACCCTGGCGCCAAGGCTGGCGCGCAACCTGACCGGAAAGGCCTGGGAGGCTTGTCTGGATATCGATCGCAAGGAACTCCGGAAGGAGAAGGGTGTGGACTATTTGCTAGAATACCTGAAGAAGAAGCGGGGTAAGCAGCAAGTGGACATCCTGGGAGAGGCTTTTGAGAAGTACTTTCAGTCTAGCGAGGTGGTTCGGCCAGACAGGGAGAACCTGAACGATTACGAGCAGCGACTGCAGGTGTACTTTCGCGACATCGAACGAGCTCTTCAGGAGCTCGGCAGCGGTGACCAGAAGGTCCCCTCGGAGATCTATGGATGGTTCCTGCTGAACAAGCACATCCGCCTGGAGCACTCAGACGTCGCAACACTGAAGTCGCAAACGACTACCTACAAGCTAGAAGATGTACTTCAAGCACTCCGCAAAATGTGGGGTGGAGAGAGCCTCGTCTTGAAAGATCAGGAACGGAAGCGGACCAATCACGCGGCCAAGACCTATCTGGTTGATGATGATGACGACGAGAGTGAAGGCAACCAGACTGCCTGGTGGAACGACCAGGATGAGGAAGAGGCTCCCGGACCAGATGAAGAGACCGAGATCTGGTTTGAAGAGGCCCTTGAGGCCTTGCAAGAGGAGCCAACGGACGAGACAGTGCTCGCGAACTTCCAGGAGGCCAAGAAGGCCTTCTACAAGGATGCCCGTAAGGCCTTGGGCCAGAACCGGGTCAACCGAGGTTTCTATCCCCAGACAAAAGGGAAGACGAAAGGCGGCCGCAAAGGCAAAGGGGATGGAAAGAACAGCGAGCTCCACGGAACCTGCATGCGATGCGGGAAGTGGGGCCACAAGGCCCAGTTCTGTCCACAACAGGCGTCCAAGAAAGGGAAGGGCAAAGGCACTGGTGTGGGCTTCGTCTATACGACGTGGAGCCTTCCAGAGACGACAGACGCAAGCAACGAGAGCATCGACAACCCGACCTTCATGAATGTGTCAGAGCCCGTTGCCAAGGCAATCATGGATTGCGGAGCCTCGGAGTCCATCATCGGAGCATGGACTCTCCAAGGAATCCATGATGAGCTGAATCAGCTGGGGTTCAACCCGGATGCAGAGATCAGCCTGGACACGACGGTGAGGAAAAGCTTTGTGTTCGGCAACAACGAAAGCAGCCTAGCCCTTGGCCAGGCTAGCATGAATGCCGGCATTCATGGTACAGAGCAGCCTCTCGATGCACACGTGGTCGAGGGACAGACGCCTCTGCTCTTGTCCAGCAAGTGGCTGTATGAGCAGGAGGCCATCATCGACTTCAAGAAGGCCCAGGCGTTGCTTCCGAAGATCTCCAGCGATGTGATTCAGCTCGAGAGGGCGCCCACGTACCATCTTTTACTCCCAGTGACGGCCTATCCGGGCCATGAGAAGGCCAGGGCCATCACAGCAGCTGTGGAAGATGGAAGTCCCCTCCTGAGAGCGTGTGCCTTGATGCGTGAGAAGGACAATCCTGCACCTGCCGAAGCGCAGGAGTAGGGACAGCACCACCAGGGTGAGGCGCTGGAAACCACCCTGAGTGGAACAACGGCTAGTCATGAAAGCCATGTTCCAGCATCAGTTGTGTGCTGCACGGAATCCCCTCCAGAGTCTGATGGCAGTGACGATAGGTGTTTAAGTCGTCAACAGAAGCAATGGTTTGAAAGGCAGGCCCGTAGGACTGAGAGAGAGTTGAGAGAGAGCATTCTTCAAGTGACTCCTAACAGGGTTGATCTTGTGGAGGTTTGTTGTCCCTGGGATTCTCCGTTGAGCGAGGCGGTTGAAAAGGCAGGTGGTAAGGCGTTTCGGATGGGAATCCATAACGGCTATGACTTATCGACCAGACAGGGCCTGACGAAGGCGATGGAAACCATACGAAGGCTCAAACCACGATATGTTCATGTGTCACCACCCTGCCATCCTTGGACTGCCCTAAGTAATGCCTGGACCAGCCCCCAACAACAGGAAGCCCTGAAAAGCCGAAGGAAACACAGCCGTCGGATTCTAGGCAACTGCCTGAAGCTGATACAGCTTCAGCGACAGGAGCTCCAGGGGCAATCAGGAGTGGATGCTGAGTGTCATGCCGGTGGTGAACACCCTCTCCGAGCAATGTCCTGGAAGGAACCTAGCATGCGTAGGATGGTGAAGTTGTGCGGTGATGATCGGTTTCGGTGTGACGGGTGCCGGTTCGGGATGAAATCGGTGAAAGATGGGCGGTTCATTCAGAAGCCTTGGGGTTGGTTTAGCAGTAGCCCTGAAATCCGAGAAGCCCTCAATCGTAGATGTAATCACCTCCCAGGAGAGCATGCGCACATGGATAGCCAGGAGATTGCATCATCGGCGACGTACCCTCAAGCCCTTTGCAGGACCTTCGCGAGAACCCTGATGAAGCGTTTGAGTCATGATCTGATCGCTAGAACTCAGGTTTATGTGAATGAGCCTGACCTTCAAGCCCGTCAAGCCGAAAACCCTCAAGAAACCCATGAACCCAAACATGAAGAGCAGGATGGCGCGAATGATGAAAAGCCTAGGAGTGAACCTGAGACCCAACAAAGCTGTAGACCTGAAGGCCCTAACACCCTTTCATCCCAAGATGACCACATCATGAAAAAGCTTCGTACCATTCATGCAAATCTAGGCCATCCGTCGAATCAAGTGCTTCATCGCACTCTCAAAGAGGCTGGTGCGTCACCTGAGGTGTTGCAGAAAGCCTTGACCTTTGAGTGCATCCATTGTGCCCGCCGGGGTCATGCAGCCCCACATAGAACCTCACAAATCCCTCAAGCCCAAGCTAAGTGGGAAGTCGTGAGTGTTGATACGTTTTGGTGGCACAGCCCCCATAAGGACCCTACTGGCAATCCCCGAGAACATGTGGTAGGTATTTCTTTTATGGATGAAGCTAGTGATTATCATTTGGCTGCCATTGTGAGATCGGGCACGAAGAAACAGGGATCCATTCGGTCTGAGGAGTTTCGGAATACCTTTTCGAGGGATTGGTTGCGAATTCTTCCTAAGCCAGAGAGTTTGAGATTTGATGATGAGGGATCGTTTCGGGATCAACGTTTGATTCAGTGGCTTGAGGCGCAGGCGATTCGGATTTCAGTGATTGCAGGTGAAGCTGCATGGCAGGTGGGCAAACATTCGAGACATTTGGAAGTCCTCAAAGAAAACATGTCTCTTTTGGCTTCGGAACTGGGTCCCGAAGTTTCAGCGGAGGAGCTTCTGAGTTTGAGTCTTGCTGCTAAGAATGAGATGCACAGTCTTAAGGGATACTCCCCCAATCAGTGGGTCTTTGGGCAGCATAAGAACCGTATTCAGTCGTATCTCCAGCATGGCAACCACCTTCCTACAAGCAGCGTCCGAAACAACAGTGAGACCTTTGAAGAAGCCCTCCAAAGATCGAACGCAGCCCGTCAGACATTTCTGAAAGCAGATAGTCGACGCCGTGTACTCCGAGCCGCGCGAGGACATGCCAGGAAAACTCAAGAGTTTGAGATGGGACAGCTAGTGTACTTTTACCGAAAAGGGAGAAACAACACAAGCAAACATGAAGCTGGCTGGCATGGCCCAGCCCGGGTGGTTGCCATCGAGAAACAAGGCGATGGCCAACAGAACCGAACACAAGGATCAGTGATTTGGATTGTTCATGCAACCATTCTTTACAGATGTGCCCCTGAACAGCTTCGCCATGTTCCTGTTGGTGTGCAAGGCGCTTTTCGTGAACTTAATGGGGATAGCTCACCTCTTCAAAGCCTTCAGCAAGCCGGGAATAGAGCCAATTACCGTGACATCTCCCAGGATCTTAGTGGAGAGCCCGAGGACAGCGAACTACATGATGATGAACCGCGGGAGCCATCTATCAGCTCAAGCGCCAACGCTCAAGCCCCACCGGCTCGCCGCATCACCGGGAAGACTACTCCCCATGTCGAAGGCGGACCTGATCAAGAGCCTCAACAGCAAGATCGGAGCGACCGAGGCCCAGAAACAGAAGCACACCAAAGACAACGAGGAGGAGAAGTACCACAACATGGACATCAACGCCCTGGCGGAGGAGAAGTTGCAGGCCGGCAAGTACGCAGGGAAGACTTGCAAGACAGTCTACGAGAGCGATGCCCAGTACGTGAAGTGGCTGGCCGAGCACCAGGGGGACAACGTCAAGTTCATGAACCTCATGGTGTATGCCACGAGAATGATCCCCAAGCCATCGCCCACGACACCGCAGAGTTCTGGAAGCATGCAGATGCACGACGTGATGAGTGCCGGAAGCTTCGCGGACTTTCTCGAAGCGGATCCCGGCGCGCCGCTCCCCGGTCCCGTCGGTCAGATGGTGCTGGCTCTCCAGGACGTGGCCCGCAACATGAAGCAGCAGGTGGAGCAACTGGAGCAGGCCAATCAGACCCAGCAGCAGGCGATCTACCAATGCCTCTCGCAGAGCATGGCAATGCAAGAGCAGCTCGAGGACCTCAACCGCCGCCTCACGGTCATGGAGCAGAACATGGCGCCCGAGCTCAAGTGAGAACCGAGCGCAGCCGATCACCAGTAGGGCGGACTGAAGGCGTGTACACTGCTTTAGCTGATGGTGAAGATGTCCTTGAGTGGGTTCCCGAAGAGAGTGTTGGTAATGCCTTGGACTTGTCTGTTGGTGATCTCGGGTGTAGAGGTAGTTATGCCTTCGATCATGAGAAGCTGCAGTTCGGCCGGTTTTCGTGGCGTGTTCCAGAGAGTGCTTGGGAGACTTTACCTCAGAACCCTGAGCCCAAAACTCATGGAAACATTGAAACCTATTTCAATCAAGCCCTCGAACAGCAAGATCAAGTGTTTGAAATCGCGATGAACATTCAACCACGGGATGTTCACAAAGTGAAGACTGGAGCTAGGATTGATTGGGTTTTGAACGAAAAGCCTAAGAAGCGAGCCGAAGTGCAATTCAGGACACTCCGTGATGATGAAAAGCTTGATTTCATGAAGGCGATGCAAGGCGAACTCAGCTCCTATCTTGAACATGAAGCTGTTGCAATTGCGCACAGACATAATGTGTCTCCTGAGCGCATTTTGGGGATGCGATGGGTGTTAACGTGGAAGGTGGTTACCGATCAGGAGAGTGGTGAGGTTGTTGGTAGGAAACCCAAAGCTCGCTTAATCATCAAAGGTTTTCAAGATCCTGATCTCCTTATGTTGAAGAGAGATTCCCCTACCTTGAACACCCAAAACCGAAACATGGTCTTAGGCATGGCCGCGATCCATAAGTGGAACTGCTATGTAGGAGACATCAAAACTGCCTTCTTGAATGGTGACAAAACTGAACATGACAGAGAAATATATGCCGAACCACCCGAGGAAGTGAGACAGATGCTCAACTTGAAACCCCATGAACTCTTTCGCATTCTCAAAGCAGTCTATGGACTCCTCCATGCACCACGAGCATGGGCAGAGAAGCTGGCCAAGGAGTTGTCTCAACAGGGTTGGATTCAGTCGAAGCTTGAACCATGTATTTGGAGATTGTACGATGAGCACAACACTTTGTGTGGTTTAATCGGTATTCATGTGGACGATCTTCTGTGTTGTGGTTCAGGTCAATGCTTTGAAAGCCACATTGAGACACTTCGGGCTAGCTTTCCATTTGGTTCCTGGAAGGATCTGCATGAGGAAGCGGTGACCTTTTGTGGGTGTGAGCTTCGACAAACGCAAGGGGGCTCCATTGAACGCAACCAAGAACGATATGCCGAGTCCATTCAGGAAGTGCCTATGACCAGGGAACGCAGGGCAGAGCTCGAGGATGCTCTGACTGAAGACGAAAGAAAACAGCTCAGAACGGTGCTAGGTGCTCTCTCATGGAGAGCCACCCAATCGGCCCCATGGATGAGTGCGAGTGTGTCGTTTCTTCAAGGCTGTTTTAAAGATGCGAAGGTGAAGGATCTTATTGAGGTGAACAAACTTGTCAGAACCCAACGACAGTTTAGCCAAACTCATGTTGTGTTTCATGCTGACATTGAACATCCGATGCTGTTGACCTTTCATGATGCTTCATGGGCATGTCGTAGAGATGGAACGTCACAAGGTGGACTGCTTACCGCAATTGTAGACCAGAGCATTCTCGAAGGAAAGCCGGGTGTGTTCTCACCTATAGCGTGGCAGTCGAGGAAGCTGCCACGCGTCTGCAGGAGCTCTACGTCAGCCGAAGTCCAGACCGGAAGCCATGCTGTTGATGCTCATGAGTTCAGTAAACAGATGCTTGTAGAATGGTACAACCGTGAACCTATCCCTGTGAAGGCCATGGATAGTGTCCTCAGTAGGATTCCTTCGGTTCTTGTGACTGACAGCAAGAACTTGTATGACTCGGTTGTCCGTATTGAGAGCAGCGGCTTACAACTGGAGGAACGCAGGCTGGCGCTCGAGGTTCTGTCCATCAGGGAACGTGTTGCAGCTGCTGGGGTCTTGTATAAATGGGTCGATTCTGATCAGCAACTCGCTGATCCCATGTCAAAGCCATTCGTTTATGATACCCTTTTGTTGGCTCTTCAGAAGGGTTCCTTGTGTATTCAGTTCGATGAAGGGTTCATGTCCGCTAAGCGAAAACGGGCCTGGAAACGAAAGCAACACAATTCCTGGATACAAAGGAGTGGGATTTCATGGACGACACATCAAAAAGAAGAGTTTCACCAGTGTTGATTTGTATAGCTTGATGTGTCGTCTGAAGCAGCATTCCGATTCATTTCAGCCATCACGGCACAGAGCTCACGCTTCGGCAGTGCAGGAAAAGGGGTCGTCCGGTAGTTTGCTCTCGCCATAGCATTCTGCGTCTTTACGACTTCTTCCGTTAGAGCCGAGATTTCTCATTCTCGGCTCTATCATTTCTTCGTGACGATTGGTCTTTGGGACCACCAGTATCGAGGCCCCTGCCAGTGTCCTTTCGACAACCCTAAACCCTCCACCTTTGAAGGCTATGGCCTTGGCATACACCAACGCCTGGGAGCCTGAGGCGGAACGGCGTTGGAAAGAGGCATCCCGAGCTCTTTCAACTCTCAACTCCCCAGAGAGCCCAGTACCCCTTAACTAAGGAATATACCTTAAACTATAGGGGCCTTACTATTATGATATAAGGTATAATTAAGGGGTATTGAGCTCTGTGGGATTTCGGCACCCGGCAACTCGAAATCCTAACCAATGAACGTTCGATCACCAGAAGCATGACATGGGGTTCGTGTTCAAACTACTGGCCTCCTGCATACCCTTAAGGTTTCGAAGGGGCTCTGTACACTAACCTCCAAACATGCCCTGAACCCGAGCCTTTTTCCCTATAAAACCTAAGAACTATGCCCTCAATCCTAAACCCCAGGGCGTGAGGCACCTGCAGTTGGCAACCCCGAAGTGTCGACATGCTCGTTGGGCTGTTCGCAGGGGGCTATATGCTTGATCCTTTCAACTTTCCCTTGCTGAGCAGGGTGTAGGAGATAGAGCTTATGAAAAAGAATCCTTGCAGGCAAAGCATGTGAGCTACTTAGTCATGAAAGCGATGAAGCAAACCAGTAAACTAAACCCTAAACCCCTAACCCCTAAGCCCTAAACCCCTAAGTCCCCCAAAACCCCCAAACTAACCCTTAACCCTAAACCCCGAAAGCCCCAACCCTAAACTCCTAAACCCCTAAATCACCAAGCCCTAAACCCTAAAACCGTAAACCCTTAAATCCCTAAACCCTAAAACTGTACCTATAGTCTCCATCGTAGTTCCCTTTTGGGGTTACCTTTTAGGATCCTTAATATAGATTTGGTTAAGCCCAAAACAAGAAACTGCAATGCAGACTATAGGTACCCCTTAACTAGGGAGTATACCTTAAAGTATAGGGGCCCGAATATTATGATTTAAGGCATTTAAGGTCTATTCCTCAATTAAGGGGTATTGTAAACCCCTAAACCCCTAAGGCCAAACCCCGAAACCCCTAAACCCCTAAATTCCTATGTCCCTAAGTCCCCTAAACCCTAAAAACCCCTAAACCCCCACATCCACAAGCCCTAAACCCTAAATCCCTAAATCCACAAACCCTAAACCCTAAATCCCTAAATCCACAAGCCCTGAACCCTAAATCCCTAAATCCCCAAA